CGCTCTGCTACTGAGCCACAGCCCCAACCAGAGGTAATAAGATTTTAAGCTAAGTTGTAAGATACAATATCAGCATGTGCACTTGGTTGTTATATTCTATATATCAGCAATTAACAATCTGAAAAGGAAAGTAAGAATAGAATTACATTTACAACAGCATCTGGAAGAATAAAATACCTGGGAATAAATTTAACCAAGGAAGTGAAGATCTGTACATTAAAAACTACAAAACATTGCTGAAATAATTTTTAAAAAGACTTAAATAAAAAGATATGATGAGGGGCTGGGATTGCCTAGCATGTGTGAGGCACTAGGTTTAATCCTCAGCACCACTAAAAATAAAATAAAGGTACTGTGTCCATCTACAACTAAAAAATAAATATTAAAAAAAATACATGAAGAGCTCCTAGACTGGAAGATTTACTATTGTAAAGATGACCACACTAAGCCAGGCGCAGTGGAGCACACCTGTCATCCCAGCAACTCAGCATCTGGAAGAATAAAATACCTGGGAATAAATTTAACCAAGGAAGTGAAGATCTGTACATTTGTGCCATTCCAGTGTACATTGGTCTTCCTCTTCCTGTAAGCAGCCTGAGATGATCTGTGAAGAAAATGGTTTGCTGCCAGGTGCGGTGGCACATGCCAATATTCCCAGTGGCTCGAGAGACTGAGGCAGGAGGATGGAGAGTYCAAAGCCAACCTCAGCAATGGGAAGGCACTAAGCAATTCAGTGAGGCCCTGTCTCTAAATAAAATACAAAAAAGGGCTGGGGATGGGGCTCAGTGGTCGAGTAGCCCTGAGTTCAATCCCAAGTGCCAAAAAAAAAAAATAGTTTGCTACTCTCTTGACCCAGAAAAACCCCATGAAATCATGCAAATCAAGAGGTTCAAATCTTCACGTTCATTTTAAGAACACCCATGAGACTGCGTAGGCCATCAAGGGTATGCATATATGAAAAGCCACCAAGTACCTGAAAGATGTCACCTTAAAGAAACCATGTGTGCCATTCCAGTGTACAGTGGTGGAGTTGGGAGGTGTGCCCAGGCCAAACAGT